CTACAACCTCTTCCTCCTCCTCCTCCTCCTCCTCCTCCTCCTCCTCCTCCTGCCTTCCTCCTCCTCCTCCTGCCCTCCTCCTCCTCCCTCCTCCTCCTCCTCCTCCTCCTCCTCCTCCTCCTCCTCCCCCACTCTGTTCCACACGGGGTTCCCGCAAGTCCCGGCCCTTCTCCCAATGCCAGCGTCTCGTGCCGAGCCCTTTTTCGGTGACAGTCCCAGGGCCCAGCGAGGCCCCCCAGAGTCTGGGAACCGTCCAAGGAAAACAATATTGTGTGCTCGTTTTGCGAGGATGTCTGGGCCAGCCCTGTCAAGAATCGCCTTGTTCACTGATTTCTGGCAATCGCTGGGTTTCGCGTCTTCTCCGTGGTGGAGGCGGTCGTGGCAGTGGTCGTGATTGCTTTCGTCGTCGTCGTCGTCGTCGTCGTCGTCGTCGTCGTCGTCGTCGTCGTCGTCGTCGTCGTCGTTCCTCGTCGCCACCACCATAGCTAGCGAAGAAAACGATGAGGAAGAGCGCGGAGACAGAGGAGAACGAAAACGAGGCCCACGAGCTCGCTTTCCAGCCCTCTCCCCCCGTCGCTGCCCCTGCATGACGCGTTCGCTCCAGGCCCCCGAGCCCTGCGGAAGGCGCTGAGCGCCGCCGCCCAGAGGCTCCGCCAGGCGCGCCTGCGCGGCGGCAGCTGCCTCCTTGATGCGCTGCCTCTCCTCCTGGGCAGAGGGCCCACGCTCTCCTTCAGAGCCCGTTCGACGCCTGAGCTCGTTCGACCGCCGCACGGGCAGCCCGTCGGGCTCAGTTCCGAGGCAGGGTCGAGGGAGTTGGGCCCGTTCGGCCGCCGAGTGGCCTCGATCGTGGGCCCATTCGACGGCCGAATGGGCACAGACAGCGAACGGGCTCAGAAGGGAACCCCATGGGGGGGGGGAGGCCAGAGGCGCGCACGAGCGGCGCCCCTCAGCAGCAGCGGCCCACTGTAGTGGACGCTTCGGCTTGCTACCGCTGCAGCAGGTGCAAGGTGGTTGCAACCTACTTGCAAAGCGCCTACAAGTGGTCTGCAAGTCCGCCTAACTGCTCCAAGTCTGAATCAGTCGCGGGCCCATTTTGGAGCAGCTCGGCGGACTTGCAACCCACGTTCAAGTGCCTTGCAAGTAGGTTGAACCATGCAAGTCACAACGATCACTGCATGCAAAACGGAGCGCGTCGGCAGCGACTGGTCTCCGGGAGCAGCCCGAGGCAGCCCCCACGCGCACGGCCGAAGTGGGCCCAAATGGGCCCCAAATGGGGCCAGGGGAGGGGGGGGGCAGCAGCGCGCGGCAGCGCTGGCCGCCGCCCAGATGTCGGCGGTGCTCAAACCTCCCTTTAATGAACCTCCCCTTAGTGAAAACGGCCTGGGACCGAAACGGACGGACCTGGACCCGCAAAAATGACGGCCGCGACGCCCTCTCGCGAACCGAAAACGGCCAATTCCTTAACCGACGTGTCAGGGTAGGAGGTCTATCCACCTCCGAAGATGGCAGCCTTCCTCACGCACCGCCCCCCGCCCCCGACAAGCACCCACCCAGATGCAGCCCCAAGATCCGGGCGTTTCAATTTTCCTGCACTGGGCGTTTTGTGACCCGACCCGGTGCCCAAGGGCCATCACGGCTCTGTCTAAGCCGCCCCGATGCGCAACACGCGGCGTCCTGACACGGAGCTCAATACGCAGACTCAGCATGCAGATCGGACGCGATACGCTCGCCGACACGTGGGCCAACCTGTGCCGAGCCAGCACGCAGCGTGTTAGCACGGACGCTCTGAACGCAGTACGTGCTGCGTCTCAACACGTGCGTATCAGGGCGGCTAAGGGCTTGATCCGACTCGAGAAGTATCGCAGCAACCATGGGGTCCAGGGCCGCGGGCCGTGATCTTTCGCGAGGTTGCAGCTGTTTTTTCCGCAGCGTCGGCTCTCAGGGGCGGGGAGGAGCGAAGCGTCGCCGCCCCGGGGGTCCCCAGCCCAGGAGGAGCTGCCCCACCCCTGGTCTGGCAGCTCGAGGCGTCGGGGGGACGTGCACAGGTAGGGCAGGCACGTGCGATCAGAAACCATGATCGCTTCTGCAGGCAGCGCTGAGGTCCACTTCATGAACCGGTCACTCCGGATCACGACCATGCGATCAGAAACTATGCGATAAGAAGACTAGGGGGCACAGCATTCTTCGACCTTGGGCTTCGCGAGGTGCCCCAAGGTTCTGCGGGCCCATCGGAGATAAGACACTCTTGTGGGGCACCCGCTGGCAGGCCAGCACCTTGCTCGAGGGAAGTGCCGGCCTCAGTCTGGGTGCGCTCATTGACCCGCTTTGGGCCAATCCCGCGTCTACTTGTAGAGACCTCCTAGACAGGGTCAGAGTAGATGGGGTCGGAGGATCCTGACGCATCGCAGATGCATCGGCGATGTATCGGCGATGCATCGGCGATGCACCAGCATCGTCGGCGATGCACTGGCGACGTCGGCGTGGAAGAACTCGGGCTCCACATCGAGCCGCATCGGCGATGCGGCGCGCTCCTCCGACCCCCATCTGCTCGGGCCCTGGAGGCCCGTCGCCCGGGACGTCCTCGGCGAAGGAGCCCAATTCCCAAAACGGTGCGGCCACCCCGAACTCGCACTGGCTCACCGCACGGTGTGGGTCACCGCCCCGTCTGGGGGCCGGAGGTCTGCGCACGGCCGAAGCGAAGCGTGAGCAGCCCACGGCAGCCTGGACCAACTCCCAGGCCTCCTAAGTCGTGCGCACATCAAGGTGTTGTTCTCCAAACAATGCTTGCACTTACTCCAGATTTCGTCATAAAGGGAGGGGGGTCTCATTTCGGGGGGGGGGTCTTTTCCAAGCTATCTTGGAGGGCCTGGGGGGGTCTGGGGACGATGTTTTGGAGGGTTCTCCCACGGGGGAGGTCTGAAATGGCTTGTCTTGGAGGGTCCAGACCCCCTCCCTTTTATTACGGAATCTGGAGTAGGGGTTCTTACTGGCCAGGGCCGGCTTTTGCGGGCGGTGCCGCCCGTCGCCGCCGCTCGCCTCGGGACCAGGGCCGTCCGTCGCCGTCGGTGCCGCCCGTCGCCGTCGTCGCCGCCGCCGCCGCCGCACCGTCGCCGCCTTGCTCTGCTTTGCTTGACATTACTTTACCTTCAACAGTCTACTTTACTATACTTTGCTTTGCTTCCCCACAGAATGCTTGCCCTTAGGCTTAGGGATTCTTGCTTGTCTTGGCCATCTGGGGTCAAGTGCCGGCTTTTCGTCGCAGTGCCGCCCGCCGCCGCCGCCGTGCCGCCCGTCGCCGCCGTCGCCGTCGCATAGATTCTCCTTTTTAAGAAATTAATAGATTCTACCCCCCCCGGACTTATCGCCTCCCCCTGGGATCATATGATTTCATACATCTTATATATATATCATATATATATTATAATTATATATATATATATATATATATATATTATTCTGCACACTCGTCCATCCTAAATATGAAATCATACCATCCCAGGCAGGCCGGGTTCCCCCCCCCTGAGGTTCCCTTGTAAAAAACACTATGCGGTGACATTTCTGGTTCTAACATAGCACTTTTTTTCACGAATCCCTCAAAAAAAAAACGGGACGAAGTGCACACGCGCGCGTCGTCGCGCGCGCATGCCGAAATCCTTCAAAAACCTTCGGTGCGAGAAGGATTTCAAAATTGAATTTCCCCAGAACACGCAAAAACACAAGGTTTCACAACACAGAGTTGCTAAAAAAAGCTTCCGCGAAAGCTCTTGCGAAATCTTAAGAAAACCATAGGTTTTTCAAGATTTTCACAAACTGCTGCCAAACGAGCTTCGCGCGCGCTCATGTCGAAATCTGTCGAACGCCCTTGCGCGTGTGCCGTCGCGAGAATCCTCTGAAAAAAAAAACGGGACGAAGTGCAGACGCGCGCGAAGTCCCGCGCGTATGCCGAAAACCTTCAAAACCCATCGGTTTCGGAAGGATTCCAAAATCGTGTGTCCAAAAAACCTACAAAAACACAAGGTTTCGCAACACGGATTTTCAACAAAAGCGTGCGCGCGCGCTCTTGCGTCGTCGTCGTCGTCGTCGCCCTTCCTCCCTCGTCGTCGTCGTCGTCGTTGTCGCCGCCGTCGTCTTCTGTCTTTCCTCGTCGTCGTCGTCGTCGTCTTGGCGTCGTCGTCGCTTCCGTCGTCGTTGTCGCCGTGGTTGTCCTTCCGCCCTCGTCGTCTTCGTCGGCGTCTCGTCGTTGTTCCCTCTATTTCGTCGCCGTCGTCGTCGTCGTCGTCGTCGTAGTCTTCACTCCTCCCTCGTCGTTATCCTCCTCCCTCGTCGTCGTCGTCGTCGTCCGTCGTCGGCGTCTCGTCGTCGTCCCTCCTATTTCGTCGTCGTCGTCGTCGTCTTCGTCGTCGTTGTCGTCGTCGTCGTCTTCCCTCCTCCCTCGTCGTTGTCGTCGTCGGCGTCGCCGTCCTTCCTCCTTCTTCGTCGTTCGCGTCGTCGCCGTCTTCCCTCCTCCATCGTTGTTGTCGTCGTTGTCGCCGTCGTCTTTTTTTCTCTTCCCTCGTCGTCGTCTCCGTTGGCGACGTCGTCGTCGTCTTCCTCGTCGTCGTCGTCGTCGGCGTCGGCGTCGTCGTCGTCTTCGTCGACGTCGGCGGTGTCGTCGTAGTCGGTGTCTGCGGCGCCGTCGTCGTCGTTGTCGCTGTCGTCGTCGGTGTCGTGGCCAAGTGCCATGTGGTACCTACCGTCACGGTCTTGTCTTAAGAAGTCTTGCGACCAAGTTGCGGGTGGGAGGGTGGGATGTTTGCACGAGCAGTAGAGAGGACAGCCTCAAGACGGTCAACTTGGATTCTCCTTTCTAAAAGAAGGATAGACTCTACCCGCCCCGGACTTATCAGCTCCCCCTGGGATAGTCTGATTTCACATATATATATATATATTCTGCACACTCGTCCATCCTAAATATGGAATCATATCATCCCAGGCAGGCCGGGTTCCCCCCCTGAGGTACACTATGCGGTGACATTTCTTGTTCTAACATAGCACTTTTCGCGAATCCCTTGCAAAAAAACGGGACGAAACGCACACGCGCGCGTCGTCGCGGGCGCATGCCGAAATCCTTCAAAAACCTTCGGTGCCGGAAGGATTTCGCAATCGAGTTTCCCAAAAACATACAAAAAACATATGGTTTCGCAACACAGGGTTGCTAAAACAACTTCCGCGCGAGCTCTTGCGAAATCTTAAGGAAACCATCGGTTTTTCAAGATTTTCACAGCATGCTACCAAACGGGCTTCACGCGCGCTCATGTCGAAATCTGTCGAACGCCCTTGCGCGTGTGCCGTCGCGAGAATCCTCTGAAAAAAAAACGGAACGAAGTGCAGACGCGCGCGAAGTCCCGCGCGTATGCCGAAAATCTTAAAAACCCATCGGTTTCGGAAGGATTTCAAAATCGTGCGTCCAAAAAACATACAAAAACCCAAGGTTTCGCAACTCGGATTTTCAACAAAAGCGTGCGCGCGCGCGCTCTTGCGTCGTCGTCGTCGTCGTCGTCGTCGCCGTCCTCCCTCCTCCTGCGTCGACCTTGTCGGTGGCCCTGACGAGGTTGGGGGAGAGGGTGCCGAAACGCGCCCAGAGTCCAGCAAAGCATGAGGGTGCAAACCCGACTTGTCTGGCTGATGCTCTGGGGGGGCCTGTGCTCAGGGGAGGCTGCAGCACC